ACAGCTACTCACGCAGAACCACACACACAGCTACTCACGCAGAACCACACATACAGCTACTCACGCAGAACCACACATACAGCTACTCACGCAGAATCACACACACAGCTACTCACGCAGAACCACACATACAGCTACTCACGCAGAACCACACATACAACTACTCACGCAGAATCACACACACAGCTACTCACGCAGAACCACACACACAGCTACTCACGCAGAACCACACATACAGCTACTCACGCAGAACCACACATACAGCTACTCACGCAGAACCACACATACAGCTACTCACGCAGAATCACACACACAGCTACTCACGCAGAACCACACACACAGCTACTCACGCAGAACCACACATACAGCTACTCACGCAGAACCACACATACAGCTACTCACGCAGAATCACACACACAGCTACTCACGCAGAACCACACACACAGCTACTCACGCAGAACCACACATACAACTACTCACGCAGAATCACACACACAGCTACTCACGCAGAACCACACACACAGCTACTCACGCAGAACCACACATACAGCTACTCACGCAGAACCACACATACAGCTACTCACGCAGAACCACACATACAGCTACTCACGCAGAACCACACATACAACTACTCACGCAGAACCACACATACAGCTACTCACGCAGAACCACACATACAACTACTCACGCAGAACCACACATACAGCTACTCACGCAGAACCACACATACAGCTACTCACGCAGAACCACACATACAGCTACTCACGCAGAACCACACATACAACTACTCACGCAGAACCACACATACAGCTACTCACGCAGAACCACACATACAACTACTCACGCAGAACCACACATACAGCTACTCACGCAGAACCACACACACAGCTACTCACGCAGAACCACACATACAACTACTCACGCAGAACCACACATACAACTACTCACGCAGAACCACACATACAGCTACTCACGCAGAACCACACATACAGCTACTCACGCAGAACCACACATACAACTACTCACGCAGAACCACACATACAGCTACTCACGCAGAACCACACATACAGCTACTCACGCAGAACCACACATACAGCTACTCACGCAGAACCACACATACAGCTACTCACGCAGAACCACACATACAGCTACTCACGCAGAACCACACATACAGCTACTCACGCAGAACCACACATACAGCTACTCACGCAGAACCACACATACAGCTACTCACGCAGAACCACACATACAGCTACTCACGCAGAACCACACATGCAGCTACTCACTCAGAACCGCACATACAGCTACTCACGCAGAACCGCACATACAGCTACTCACGCAGAACCACACATACAGCTACTCACGCAGAACCACACATACAGCTACTCACGCAGAACCACACATACAGCTACTCACGCAGAACCACACATACAGCTACTCACGCAGAACCACACATACAGCTACTCACGCAGAACCACACACACAGCTACTCACGCAGAACCACACATACAGCTACTCACACAGAACCACACATACAGCTACTCACGCAGAACCACACATACAGCTACTCACGCAGAACCACACATACAGCTACTCACGCAGTACCACACATACAGCTACTCACGCAGAACCACACATACAGCTACTCACGCAGAACCACACATACAGCTACTCAGGCGGATACATAACAGAGTTACAAACACAGAACCGCAATTACACACAAATACGCGTACGTAGACAAAAGATCCTCCCCGTATTGCCTTCTCAGGCCGTTGGTGCAGACACAGACAAAAATCCCCCGTATGGGGCCGTCCATAAATGACGTCACGCACCTAAGGGGGGGGTCAGACATTTGTGACGATGTGTGACGACGAGAGGCGGGGGGGGGTGAGAAATGTAACGTCACATAAAAATGCGCAACTTTAAATAAATATAGACAACACGTTCGACTTAATTAAATCGACTTTTTAATAAATGTTTTCTCCTACAGCATCAGAGTGCAGCGCCACATTAAATACGCACTACAATGACAATAGCTTAAAGCGATTTGAAGCATGTTTTATTTTGGGGGGGGGGCAGAGCTTAGTGACGTCATATTTGATGGGGGGTCTGACTTTTTGTGACGCCGTGTGACTAGGGGGGGGGGGGGGGGGTAAAAAATCGTCCAAAATCGCGTGACGTCATTTATGGACGGCCTAAATCGCCTTAACAGACTGTTGGGGCAAGTGCTGTCAGCGAGCACCTATGAAGGCCGGCGTTGCCAGCACCACGCCCGACCGCTTTTGTCTCCCCAGTGGCGATGATTTTACACACCGCACCAGGTGCTCGTTTGAGACTGAGTCGACCTAGGGGAGGCCCAGAACCGGTTCAGGTAATCGTCACCGCTGTTGGTGACCGTGAGCGGGAATCGAACTCGGGTCGCCGGGGTTCGTAGCGCAGGGCACTAACCGCTCCCCAAAGATAAAGATCCCCCGTGTAGCCTTAACAGACTGTATGGGCAAGTGCTGTTAGCGAGCACCTATGAAGGCCGGCACGGCACACGAGGGGGTGGGTGGCCAGCACCACGCCCGGCCGCCTTTGTCTCCCCAGTTGCGATGTTTACACACCGCACCGGGTACTCATTTGAGGCTGAGTCGACCTAGGGGAGGCCCAGGACCGATTCAGATAATCGTCACTGGGTGTTCGCCGTGAGCGGGAATCGAACCCGGGTCGTCAGGTTCATAGCGCAGCGCGCTAACCGCTACACCACCGCTCCCCACACACACAGTCACACACGCAGTCACACATATCATACAGACCGCTATTCATGAGGCCCCCCCCGGTTCAGTCTCCCCGGGCAACTGCCCCCCTCGGCTCGCCCCGGTGTAATCGGATGAGGGCGCCGAGGAGAGGACACGGGAGAAAGCATTTTCTCTCCTTGCCTCCTGGACAGGACCCCTATACCACTGGACTCCCGTCCACTGCACCCCCGAGAGCTGGACCCTGCATTCGGGGATTTGGGAATTCTGGACACGCACACAGGTATGGGTGGAGACACCGGTCATCACGCACCAACAATAACAACAAGCGACATTTCTAAAAGTGTTACTTTCTGAAATGCAAACTCACCGTACGAGCTTGTGAGTTTGTTGTACAGTATTTGCGTGTTTGCGTTGAACGGGTTTCCATGGTTCACAGGGAGCGCTACTGCCAATAATTTATGTAAACCCAGGAACATCCGTTTCACAAAGCTGACTCTGCTGATGAGACACAGGGGGTGGAAACCGGTCCGGAAATAGTTTTGCTTGTTTAAACATGCGTCTGGATAATGTTGGTCTGGCATGTTCCCCATTCACCGCGCCGCATTGACCTGCGTGGTGAAGTATGGTCAATTAATGATCACGGCCCGTACAGCGGCGTGGGGAGGCCGTCATCCAGCAGTGGAGTGGCAACGGGATTAATAATTACTGTCCGCACGGATAAGCGTGATGTTGTATTTTGCTCTAAAGGGCAGCTTTTTAAGGGCAGACGCGGCGGGTAGTTATTTCAATTTGTGCCTGTGCACATATATACACCATCGCTTAACTCCATCATTTATAATTTGTGCCACAACAACATTGAAAAGTGGGTGATTTATTTGTAAGACCATTATTCCGCTTGTTTGCCCACGAAAGCCTCACCGAGTCTAATGACTCAGTTTTTCAAGAGGCTCCTGCCAACAGTAAGGTGGGGAGGAGGTGATAGTGTTGCTTCTGCTGTGTGTAATTCCAATTGGGTCATTTTGCAGGCGATGTCTCAGAATTGGGGAGTGGGTGGTTTGGGCCCCACCCCATTTACATTGCGGGTGTGGTTTGTTTAGTTGTGGGGGGAGGAAACCGGAGAACCCGGAGGACATTAAGGAACTGTCTCCGCACGTCGTCCTCATGACAGTGGCCTTCTCTGGATGCGATCTCAAACAATGCCAGCGTTGTTTGTGCTTGGGGGGGGGGGGCTGTGCGTGGTAGTGGTGTTGTTGTTGTTGTTTGTCCTGTGGTTCTAAGCAAATGAGATGGAAAGGAGAGCGGATTGATCAGTGGTTTGCACAACTGCACTTGCATATTATTGTTATTATATTCAAATTTGTATTGGTTCTTTCGGTAAAGTCACGTAGAATGAAAATAATAAAATAATAAAAATAAAACATAATCAAATAATTCTCACGGCTGCTTGCGTTGTGGCCGAAACGTCGTGAGAATTATTTTATCATGTTTTATTTTTATTATTTTATTATTTCCATTCTACGTGACTTTACCGAAAGAACCAAGAAGATGAATCCCTGCAGTCACGAAAGAAGCTTTAAATCGAAATATATTCAATTTCCCGAGAGAAGCCCGAGTCTCAACAAATGTAAACAAATTATTTGGACATTGAAGAAGGGTCGTTGCCCGGAACGTTGCCTATTTTATGTGATGTGATTTGCCCACAATATGGACCGGAGCGGCAGCTAATCTACCACTCACGCAACGGCCTCGTGTTCAGAGGCGCCAACTCGTTTCCCTTCGGCGCAATGCTTACCCGGGCTATAAATTGCCCATAGATAACCCCTATACGCTCACTCCCCTCTGCAGGTACATACATGACACACCCATAACACACACGCGTGTGCAGCTATATAAAGATAAATACAAACATCCTCCGGATAAATTTCAATTTAAAGCCTTCGTGACTGCAGGGATTCATCTTCTTGGTTATTTCGGCAAAGTCACGTAGAAGGGAAATAATAAAATAATTAAAATAAAACATAATAAAATAATTCTCACGACGTTTCGGCCACAACGCAAGCAGCCGTCCTCAGGTGAAGAACAGGTCTGTCGGGAAGACAGCGTCTCATTCAGACGATTATTTTATTATGTTTTATTTTTATTATTTTATTATTTCACTTCTACGTGACTTTACCGAAAGAACCAAGAAGATCCTCCGTATAGCCTTTAACAGATTGTAGGGTCAAGTGCTGTTAGCGAGGAGCACATACGAAGGTCGGAATGGCACACGAGCGAGTGGGTGGCCAGCAGCACCACGCACGCATCTGTACAGGTACACAAACACACGCACCTATGCAAGCACACACACGTGCAGGCATAACACCTGTGTAGGTGAGGGTACGTGCATACACCTGTACAGATACACAAGTGTCAACGTGCATACGCACACACCCCTGTGGAGGTAGTTACATAATGGTTGTGAAACGTTACCAGGCAATGTAGTAATTATGAACGGATTAACCGGTTCGAACGTCTGGAACCGCTAATCGATTCGAGTGGAATTTTAGTAATGAATTAACCCATTGATTGGCACGTGCGAAAGTACAAATCGCACGGCGGCAGGCCCAAGGGTAAATGTACTGTATGGGTGAATTAACGCTAAAGGTGCAGCCCTGCAATTACTTGTTCACCCCACTGATGGCGGAAAGGGGCCTCAACTCGAGGGAGCTCTGGAGGGCGTTTGGCCTACTCTTCCACGCTTACGAGACGTGCAGGCAAAAGAGGTCGGCGTACCCACACTTTACCCGACAATTTGCGAGCTGGCGATCGATTGACTAACTGCATGGCGTGTTACTCAATTACACAGATTCTCCGACCGTGGCAGCTCCCTTCATTTCTCAGATAAAAGAGTTAAAACAAAAGTTACGTCTATTGCTCTCGACATTTCTGAGTGCGGAAAATCGGTAACCGCTTTTTTACCGGTTTTGTCATTCGGTTAGCGTTGTTTCACGCGGTTACCGATTTAAGCGACCATAGTGGCCGTCCATAAATGACGTCATGCAATTTTGGACGATTTTTGACCCCCCCCCCCCTCGTCACACGGCGTCACAAAAAGTCAGACCCCCCTCAAATATGACGTCACAAAGCTCTGCCCCCCCCCCCCAAACCATATTTAAAATTTTTTAATAAAACATGCTTCAAATCGCTTTAAACTATTGTCATTGTAGTGCGTATTTAATGTGGGGCAGCACTCTGATGTTGTAGGTGTGCTGTTATAACAATTCTATATTTATTTTAAGTTGCGCATTTTGATGTGACGTCACATTTCTCAACCCCCCCCCCCCCTCGTCACACATCGTCACAAAAATCTGACCCACCCCCCCAGGTGCGTGACGTCATTTATGGACGGCCCCCTAGTACATGAACACCTTTGCAGGTTGTATTGTCCGTCTCGCGCGTTATAGTGTTTGCTCTGTCTCGTGTTCCGTTTCGCTTTGTTCCGGCACGTTCTATGTCACCTCCTCTTCCCGCTGTCTTGTGAAAAGCGCTGCCCAGGTAGAGTCAGGGCTGCGCTGACGCTCCCCAGCGTCTCCACGGTAGCGGGCAAGGTCCACCTCAGGTGTCATCTGCCGCCGCCGGCCGGTAAGAGATAGCACTACAGACAGCACAAACGAGACATACATCACCCCAGTGGGCTTTCTCCGGGTGCTCCTGTTTCCTTCCACGTATATTCATTGGCCGATGCCACCTGAATATGTAGAGGATCGCAGAGCTTGGAGGGGAGGCTGGGGCTGCTGCTGCTGCTGCTTTTGCCTTCCCCGTCTGTGCTGTGGTTCTTCTTCGTGACCCTTGAGGCAACCTCTCTCTCTCTCTCTGTCTCTCACGTTGCGAGTTTAAATCATAGGCGGAGTTTGACGTCTATATTTGGTGGGTGGGGGGGGCAGGGGTTCATTAGGAATTAAATGATAAAGGTGTTCAGCTTGGGACGCCCTCCCCCCGCCGCCCATGGAACGTACAATTTGAAATCACCTGCTCTGTGTTCCGAGGTCGGATGAGACGGGGGCGCATTCCTCTGATCTGGTCACGAGCAGTCAGAAAAACAAATACTAGAGAAGCCCACGCAACAATAGGGCCCAAAGCGTCCGGTGATCGAAATCTGCGCCGCCACCACCCACCCGGCGTGAATTGGAGCTTCCGCGGATTCAACCCAAAGCCGCGTGTCTCTACCAGCCGGTGGCAGCAGATTACACCTGTGATGCACCTTGCCGTTACCGTGGGGATGCTAAGCCGATCCTTATCTGGGGAGGCGAGGGTGCTGAGGTGGGGGGGGGGGGCGAGTTACTGTAGACAGTCGAGGCAAGGCACGAATGGATTTCCTCCTGACTCAACGATTCTCTTGCCGATTCACTGCCACGTGTTCGTTTGACGCCATCGCTTGTGCCGTCTCGTTTGCATTGCTCTGTCGCGTTTGTATTGTATCATTTGTATCGTTTCGTTTAGTGATGTCTCGTTTGTATTGTCTGTCTCGCCTGCCCTGTCCAGTTTGTATTGCATTTCTCGCCCTCTACTCTGCACTGCATGCTCGCCAACCCGACCGATTTAAGCGATATGCTGCCCATTCATTTCTTCATCCCCTTTTGCCGTGCTGGCGAGAACCGTGAAGGTCGAAACCGGTCCGGAGTGTTCCTTCCTTGAACAGCAACAAACACCGCGGTGGGACCCCGCGCATTACGAGGCCGTGACTAGGGAGGGGGGGGGGGGGCGGTAGGTGATGAAGAGGACAAATAATTACTCCACTTCTATAATTAACAGACGTCGGTAGGGGGGGGGGGGCAATGAAGTATCTGGGTGCCGCCTACCCACGTGGAGGCGTTGAGGATAGGGTCGTGTGCTATGTATTCTACTGTAGCAACTGTTTTCATATGGATGGACCGGTCCCCGTCATGCGAATGTGGAATTCCCGCCATAGGCTCTGGGTCTCCAACGGGGCTAAGCGCAGCCTCCCTCCTACGCCGGTTTGGCTTTGACCGCTCGGTGCTTGTCCGTTCAGGTGAGCTCACCTGCCCCGCCAGGTGAGCTTTACCTGATTGGCCAGGTACAGACGGAGGCGGGGCCTCTACCGTTACCTTCAACCACCGTGACCGCCCCCTCCACCATCATCAGCCCCAATACAACCACGACCCCCAACTTGCCCCACCACCCGTGATCGCTGCATCACCGCGCGAAATCCAACCATTACCACCCACCACCATCACCACCCACCACCATCACCACCCACCACCATCACCACCCACCACCCACCACCATCACGACCAACACCCCAGCCACCACTAACCACATACTGCAGTAACATCCACTCCAAACTGCCATCATCACCAAATATTGTACCACCGCCAGCAACACCCATGGTTCATTTACCAGTACCACAATCACCACCACAATCCCGATACTAATACCACCACCACCACTCAAATCGCCATACCAACACCAGCTCCCACCACTCCACGCCATCTCCACCATCAACGACTTAAACCCCATTACCACCACCGGCGGCACCACCTTCCTCAATCCTCCTCCCTCCCACCCCCCGCCTCTGAGCTAAGCTGCCGCCAACAGCCAATGAATGTCCGTGTCGGGCTCAGGGAGACAAGGCGGTCGCCTAGGTATTGGTGCAGCAATAAATAGAAGCAGCAGCTGTAGTAAGAAGAAGAATAAGAAAATAATGATATAATCCGCGTGAGCCGGTACCTACCTGTGCGAACAGGAAACCACCACCACCATTCCTCCCCTTACTGTGGGTACTCGACATCCTATACGCCTCCTCCTCCTGCTGCTGCTGCTGCCTGTCGTGCGTGTCTGTGTGCAAGATCGCGGATGCGATGGAGGTCTGCGCTATAGGGGTGCGAGTGAGTGAGTGAGTTCATCTCTCACGCAACGCCGCCAGTCACCCCACCCTTCTCCTCTCTAACTCTCTCACACACACACACAAGCTCTCCACCATCACCACCAAGCGTTGCCCGGCGGCAGTGGTGATTGGTAGAAGCTCTGTTAACCCTCGTCACCTCGTCGTTCGCCTCTCACTCGGCTCTATCTCGCTCTCTCTCTCTCTCGAGTTGTATAATCGTCTGTCTTGTCGCGCGCGAGTTGTGGAGTGTTCACCGCTTCACGCTCTCTCACCCTCTCTCACCCATTCACCGCTCACGCTCTCTCATCCATTCACCGGTAGGAGTGGTTCCCGGTTTGTAAAAGAGAGAGAGAGGGAACGGAGGAAGTTTACGGTTTAATTATTTCCTTCAATGTCTTTCACCTCGACTCGACTACACCTCGATCGTGGGATGATGAAACGAGCAGAGATGGGATGAGAGAGGACATGACGCGAGAAGAGATGAAACGAGGTGAGATGATCACGATCTGCTGCCGCCGCTGCTGCTGCTGCACGCGTATCCGTGGCGACGCGTGCGCTCTCGGCGTCGGCTGGATCTTGCCTCGGTTACGTCGAAGTCGGACTGACCAGAGGATCCGAGTTGGAGTCCACGTGTGGCTATTGCTGGTGAGCGTGCTTGCCGTGGCTGGCGAGGTGAGGCTGGTGCTGGCACTGGTGAGCGTGGTGATAGTAACTGTGAGCTGCTGACGAGGTTGGCAGTGGTTGCTGCTGGTGAATGGTGAGGGTGCTGGTCTTTTCTCCTGTTGGTGAGGTTGAATAAGAGTGTTGTGGTGGTGGTGGTGGTGGTGAGGTTGAAAGAGGAAGGTTGCGGCTGGTGGTGCTGATTGGTGAGAGTAATGGTGTTCGTGAGTGGTGCTCGTGGTGGTTGTGCTGCTGGTGAGTGGTAAGCTTGCTGCTGTGTGGTGAAGGTAGTGGTATTGCTGCTGGTGAGTGGTAAGCTTGCTGCTGTGTGGTGAAGGTAGTGGTATTGCTGCTGGTGAGTGGTAAGCTTGCTGCTGTGTGGTGAAGGTAGTGGTATTGCTGCTGGTGAGTGGTAAGCTTGCTGCTGTGTGGTGAAGGTAGTGGTATTGCTGCTGGTGAGTGGTAAGCTTGCTGCTGTGTGGTGAAGGTAGTGGTATTGCTGCTGGTGAGTGGTGAGCTTGCTGCTGTGTGGTGAAGGTAAGTGGTATTGCTGCTGGTGAGTGGTGAGCGTCATTCTGCCGCTGTTTCCGATGAGGGCGCTACTGCTGGTGAAGGCGAGTGTGGTGGTGTGGCGGTGGTTGGTGGAGGGTATTGGTGAGCGTGCTGCTGCTGCTGCAGTGGCAGTCACTGGTGCATGTGGTGGTGCTGCTGCTGTGGCTGGTGAGTTTGAGCGTGGTGGTGGAGGTGGTGGTATAAGGGTGGGGGAGTGAGTGGTGTTGCTGGTGAGGACATTGATCCTGCTCGTGATGGTGATGCTACTGCTCCTTTCCGCCGGTGAGAATTCTTTGACGGTTCGTAATGGTGAGAGCGGCGCTGCTGATATTGGCGAGGTTGTTGCTGCTGCTAGTGAGTGACTGTGCGAGTGTTACTGGTGTGGCAATTCACGAGTGAGTGTGGTGATGCTGCTGTGGTTGGTGGATGTGGTGGTGGTACTGGTGGTGAGTTTGAGCGTGGTGATGGTTAAGGTGGGGAGGTTGTTGCTGCTGATGGTGGTGATTGTGGGAGTGCTACTGGTGTGACAAGTCACTCACGAGTGTGGATGTGGTGGTGCTACTGGTGGTGAGTTTGAGCGTGGTGGTGATGGTTAAGGTGGGGAGGTTGTTGCTGGTAGTGGTGAGTGATTGTGCGAGTGCTACTGGTGTAGCAAGTCACGAGTGAGTGTGGTGGTGCTGCTGTGGTTTGGTGGTGGTGCTACTGGCGGTGAGTTTGAGCGTGGTGGTAAAGGTGGTGAGTGATTGTGCTGCTGCTGCTGAGTGTGGTTCTGCCAGCGAGGATGCTGACACTGGTGCTAGTGAGCGCCGTGTGACTGCTGATGAGGATATTGCTCCTGTTGGTAGCGGTGCTGATGATGATGTTGCTACAGCTGCTGCAGATCGTGGCCGTGCTGCTGCCAAACACCAGTGACGCTTATCTAAATCGGTCCTGGGCCTCCCCTAGGGTTGACTGAGCCTAAAATGAGTACCTGGTGCGATGTGTAAACATCGCCACTGCGGAAAACAAAGGTGGCCGGGCGTGACGAAGACCACCCATCCGCTCCCTCGTGTAGCCGTTCTGGCCTTAATAGGTGCTCGCTAACAGCGCTTGCCCCAACAGTCTGTTGAGGGCTCTTCGGGGGGATATTTTCATTCGTAATAACTGGCCCCGAGCCAGATCTCGCGTGCCCTGGGCTGGGCTGGCCGGGTGTTGGACGTGTTTCGCGTGTGTGTGTTTAGTCTGTGTTTTTACAGCTCTTTTGTCAATCCACTGCTAGATGAAAGCGAAGTCGCCGTGCCGGTTGCTCGGGGTGTCTGACCGCGTGCTCGGGACGCGGCTCGTGTGGCTACTCGGGGGAGGGGGGGGGGTAGAGCGAGTGGCTCGCAATCGGAATGTTGCGGGTTCAAACGCGGGTTGGGGTTGGATGGGGCTTGACTCAGCCCACCCTCCATCCGAGGTCCATAGAATGGATACCAAGTTGTGTGCAAGTCAACAGTGGTCGTCTTGTCTTGGATTCACCCAAAAATGGGTAAGGGGGGATGAT